AAATACGCATAATTTAATGAGTCCACTAGAAATGTTCCGATTTCTGACCAGAAGAACTTGTAAAATTCTATAGTGAGCCCATCGTTTCCAGGAGTTTTATCGTTACTAAAGGTAGACAGAACCTTGAAACATTCGGAATATGGTGCCAAAAGAATAGATTAATTATTCATGAAGGGAAATGCGATGCAGTACTCCTGGATACAAAACCCTTTATTGGCCCTCTGAAGCCTTTAGTTTGGGGAGACAAAACCATTGAATACAGATCTTTCTCTGTATGTCTTGGTATAGCCATTGATGAAAGACTCTTCTGGGCCAACCATGTAAAATCAGTCTCTACCTCATACAGCTCTAAAATTAAAATATTAAGACGCATAAGCTTTTTACCAAAAGCCACACTAGAAACAATTTATTACAAAACAGTAATCCCAAGCGTATTATATGGTATGGCTGTGTGGGGCTCTTGCTCAGATTATTTGATGAAAGATCTAGAACTAATCCACCTCAGAGCAGCAAGAATTATCCACAAACTACCAAGAGACATGGAAGACGAAACAGTACTCATAAATGCAAGTTGGATGCATTAAAATATTTTTATTGCTCTCGTATTCTAAATATAACGCATATAGCTTTTTATAATTTAGAGTTAGGTGATATAAATAGTTTAGTTGTTAAGAACGCTTCTTCTTATAGTCTTAGGAAATCGTTAAATGTTGTTGTATCTAGGCCACGAACTGAACAGGGTCGTCGTTCATTTAAACACAGAGCTGCAATTGCCTGGAACTCTTTACCTGACACCATCAAACGGCTTGAAAACCCTCTCTCTTTTAAAAGAAAGTTAAAATCGATCAGGACCTATGTTAGGGACATCAGTTTTCAAAAGGAATGCTCAGTAAATTATAATAAGAACCCCGAATTTAGATATTTTTAAATTATTTGATTAGTCTTTTTATCTTAAATAATTGTATTGTAAATCTTTGTTGTCTTATCTAGACTAGTAGTAGTAGGTCCACATCAGCTGTACAGTTGCTTATTTCAAACCTACTTATCAAATAAATGTATGTATGTATGTATGTATGTATGTATGTATGTATGTATGTATGTATGTATGTATGTATGTACCAACTCTTTCTCCTGTCCTTCTTTACGGTCCAGCTACGTAGATACACTGTCAAGTACATGTTTCTGAATTTTTCTACCCAGCGGAAATCAATGGGGCGAAGAAACCGACGTTGGAAGGCAGCGCTTAAACCGGGAGCTTGAATCCCTCTTCACTTTCATTCTTCTCGTTTTCAGAACTAAACAAGACGCTTGACACAAACGAATACAACTGAAGAAGGGTTTTCAATTTCCTTCTACAAGAACTATAAATTCGGTCCGACATATCCTCGGCTCGTAATATTCTCTTTGCAAGAAGTAAATTAAACGAGCCCCCTCGTCTGCTTTGAAGGCTGAAACAAGTTCTCGGTACCAATCTGATCCCCCTGAGAACCAAACTTGACACACAGACGAAGGGGGTGCCAGCTTGGCCTGTAATCAATCAACTTTGTTTTTCGGAACGTCATTTTTCAGCCAATTGTATTTCCCTTCGTCTGGGCGAAGTACAAATGAAATTTTATAAGAGATCGTTGCAAGCGCTCCTTTCCTCTGCCACTCGCGGCTTCGCCGCTCGCGCGCTCTCGCGAGACTCGCTTCGCTCGCCCAAATAAGAGAGCTTCCTCGCAGGCTAAATTATCTATACAGACGATTTTCGAATCCTGGGCAGCTCCATAGAGGATTCAAGAGCCACTTCAACCTAATGCTTGACCTAATACAGGGGCTACGCTTCACCATAGACAGAAAAAAGTCCCGGCTCCTGGACCCCAACCAGTCATTTAGTCATTTTACATTTCTTGGTGTCTCCATAAACTCACTGAGGATGTTATTCAGTCTCCCAGAGAAGAAAATCCTGACCCCACCCCATCGGCTCCCAAAGTGGCAAGCCTCATAAAGACACTGGAGGTGGCTCGCCCCGCCATCTGGCAGGTCCCCTTCACAGACGGGTCCCTACAAATAAAACTCATAAAATACCTTAAGGCATCTCATCGCAATTACGAGACGTCTGTGCACCTGAACAGCAACACTCAGACCGAACCGCTACGGCGGTGGTTTCAGAAGTTAACGACTCTGGATGAAATTGTTACCAATTCCTTTGACTCAGATCTATAAAGAACTTCAGACGCATCCAAAGCAGGCTGGAGCTCATGCTGCCAGGAACTAACCGCAAACCAGACATCACATAAACGTCCTCGAACTCAAAGCTGCTTTTTTCGCAACGAAAGCCTTTCCCAAACAGACATGTCCAATATACACAAACGGATTCGATTCGTCAAACCGATGGTCCATTGATACCAATGGTACGATTGGTTGTGAGCATTGGACAACCCTCGGTTTGAGAGGAACGACTGGAGAAATTCCGGAGTGATGATGTGTTACTACCCTGATCTGAGTAGTGCTTCTGATTGGTCACTGCTGTGAGGGAAGTTTGCTTCAACCAATCTGAAACACTACCAAATTCTGGGCGGTAACATCTGTGGTTGTTCCTCAGGTGTAATCTCATGGGGAAACCAACTGGTGGTGTGATGCATAAGTTTGGCTGTTTTCTCAGGCTAGGCTACTTCTGTGGGTTAACAATGCTAGTGAGCAAAAATTCACATGTAATTGATGAGGTCTGCCAAGATTCATCTATTGCCAGTTACAAAATCTTCCTCATTTTAAGTAATCTTCCATGCCATGTTAAAAGTTTTCACCATGCAGGGAAGATCAATTGTGAGGTCAGGGAGTTATAGCGAATGCGAGCAGTCCAGAAAAATAATCAAGGTGAGTGGTCTTACATCTGATCCTATACATAATATAGCTACCTTTTAAACTATTAATTTTTTTGGTGGCCATTGTGTGAAGGGGGCTGTTTTGTGGGGGCAGGTGTGTATTACAGGTCAAAACTAAATGGAAGTTAAAATGTTTTACCCTAGATTGATTCAATATTTTCTTTGTCTCCTAGTCCTGATTATTCATAAATTAAGGCAAGGAGACAAAGAAAATTGAGAATCAACCTACAATCGGCGACACAATTAGTTGAGACACTTTGCGCTAGTGTTCTCCCCAGGTATTTAAGGTTAGGCGGGCCGCCTGGCTTAATTCACTGGAAAATGGTTGCCGCCTGGCTTAAAACCAACTATCAGAATGGATGCTTATGTTGACATCTAGAACTAGGTATTTCAGGGACAAAATCACTCAATAACATTTATGAAACATTCGTATTTTCCGTAAAATAGGCGTACATCTGCTCATAAACTAATCGTTCAAAAACTCTGGCTATAGTTGGTAAGACAGTAATTGGTCTAAAGTTATTTGGATCATTACGTTCACCTGATTTAAATAGCGGAAAGACCTTTGCAACTTTCCAATCACCTGGAAAAATATTTGTAGTAATCGAGAGGTTGAAAAGGTCAGCTAGCGATATAGAAATAACTGGAGCCGCTATTTTTAAAATCTTGTTTGGGATGTTATCATGACCAGTCGCCTTTGCAACATTTACTTCCTGCAGCTTTTTAAACACGTCAGAGATCGTGACTTCCTTCAGTTCAAAAGAAGAATTAACGCGCTGTTGGGAATCAGCTAGATTTACATCACAATCCACCGTAGGGATTTCAGATGCAAGTTTCGGCCCAACGTTTGTAAAGTGAATATTCAAGTATTCAGCGATTTTCTCGGCTTCTGATAAAGGCCCAGAATTTTCTGTCTTTAAATCATTAATCTGTGTGCTGTCCTATTTCTTACCCATTAGGTCGTTAAGAATTTTCCAAGTTGCTTTCAGGTTACCAGAGGCTCCTTTTATTTGATGTTTGTAATAATCCTTCTTTGTCTTTTTTACTTTTTTGTCAACCGTTAACTTTTTAGTTTTATATGCCTTCCAAACTTCCGGCCGCTGCGTTTCTGAAGCTTTTCTTCTTTAGCCAGTCACGTTCATACATTTCCTCTTTTAACTTAGAATTTAACCAAGGAGCGGGTTTATTTCTGACTCGTGTGACTCTTGTCGGAGCATGCTTATCAACTATATTCAAGAATATATCTTTCCATGCATTCCACGTACTATTCACTTCCATACCGCTTTTAATAACAGACCATGAGGCATTTTTCAGATCTGTTAAGAAATTTTCCTCATTGAAATGTTTAAAATTTCAAAATTCCTCGCTTGAATAAACTTTGGTTGTCCCCTGGGTAAGCCAATTTTTCTCACAGTATAAATTAAATTGTGGTCGCTAATGGAAAGTGTGTATACTCCCGAATGAAAAATATTATCCTCCTTGTTCGTAATAAATACATCAATAAGAGTTTGCGATTTGGCATTAACTCTTGTAGGTTCTTTGATTAATTGTGCCAATTGATAATCAACCATCAAGTCGATAGGTAGTGTGAACCTCTGGGGGATTTGAAAGAATATTACAGTTTAAATCTCCCAGTATGTAAATTTCTGAATACCTGGCATCTGCCTCCTTCAAAAACATTTCGAATTTTTTAAAATAATCCAAAGGTGTGTTTGGTGGCCGGTACCAGGTAGCAATAAGAAATGGACATGAATTTGCTTTCTGAATTTCTAAGGCAATTAATTCAAGATCATCATTTTCAAGTTGATATTGCCTACAGAATGTTATTGTATTTCGCAGGTAAAAGCAAACTCCACCACCGTGTTTGTTTCTATCCCTGCGAACAATATTATAACCTTCTAGATTAACCAGTCGATCACCATTTACCAGATCCAATTTTGATTCATTAATAGTCAAAACATCCAGGGGCGTATTTGCCATGAAGACTTTTAATTCGTCTACGTGTTTAGTAAGACTGGTTACGTTAAGCAAGGCAATTTTGAAACCTCTAATTTCAGAAGTAATGTTATCAAATGACAGTGGTTTGGCAGAACAGTGATCATTAGGTCGTCGATTACTATCTACACAGGTCAAATTTCAATCTCCATTAATATATTCCCTAAAATTAGACGCAAGGCGGTAAACACCTTTCCGATTTAAATGCAATCCACTTCTATTAAGAGAGTCTTCTTTGATGTTACTGTTATCAATAAAAACCCAGTTCTTACTCTGACAAAAAGAAGAGAGCCGGCGATTTACCTCATCAATCTTGGAATTAACATCAGACCTGAAGATGATTGAAGAAACCGCGACGTCGATGGATGGATGTTCCGCTTTGATACTATCCACTAAACCAGCCACTTTGTTTTTTATTTTCTTTGGTTGATCCATCTTCAAATTGTTGGTGACGACATGTAGGATAATTTTCTTCGGTTTCCGCTTGATAACCGGTTTTGCAAAATCAACCATGTCATCAATGGTGGCCCCATAACATATTGGTTTCTTGACAATTTCTTACCAATGATGTTTTTGGTAATGGAATCACCGATGACAACCACATCTGGAGGTTTGTTTTGATCCTGTTTACTCTGGATTGTGATGTTGTTACCAGAGGCGACACCTTTGTGCCCAGAAGGATTTTTCTTCTTCTTTGGCTGCACCGTTTCCCAAGATTTGGAGCCTTGTTGTTCGTCATTTCGGTCGACTGTATTTCTGTTACCCCCATGTTCTTTGACATATTCAGACAATATTCTTAGAGCTGTTACAAGACTGTCCCTTTCTTCTTCGAGTGTTTTTATGCGAAGTAAGAGTTCATCATATGAAGGAGTAAAGACACGTGTTTTGAGCTGTTCGTTGAGTTTAGCAAATTCTTGCTTAAGCCCACTAATTTCATCGGCATTTTCCTTGCAACCAGGACAGTGGTGGAAAGCTTGCTCCTCGTGATATGCCGGTTCATCATGATTCTGTTGAATCACTTCATTATCCCAACATTAGGTAGAAAATCCACATCTTCGTCATCCGTTTGCTCTTGACCGACATGTTGTTCATCCGAAACTAGCTCATTTGCATCAATATTTAAATTTCTGCGCAAGAGAAGAGAAAATAGCTTCTTTCTAACCTCTTCTTGTTTCGCTCCTTGCACATTCAGCGTTTTAGTTTTAGGAAAAAAAGGAAGCGTGACACAATTCGCCCTCAAGACGAGAAATCCACTACTCTTGGACACAGAAGACAACTGCCCTGACAAACTGAGCTAATCGTTTACAAACGATTTGAGCTCGTTAAAGTCGCTCTGCCTCTTAAATTTGCGACTATTTTTGTCTTCCTCAATAGAAAGTGGATAGGAAGTGTTTAAACGTGGTTCCAAACCGATATTATGGTCAGTTAAATCAAAAGAAGAACAGCTCTCGTCTACACGTGGTGCCGCCAAGACGCTAGGGCTGTGTATACAAGGTATACCCGGTATACCTTGTAACCCTCTGGGGGTTAGAGGGGGCCTTGTAACCTTGTAACCTTGCGACCTTCTGGGGGCTACAGGAGGTTAGAGAAGGTAACAAGGGGTTACACGAGGTTACAAGGGATTACAGGTAGGTTAAAAGGGGTTACAAGGGGTTACAGGGGGTCACAGTGGGTTACAAGTGTTTACAAGAGGTTACAAGGGATAACAAGGGGTTACTGTGGGTTGCAAGGGGTTATAGGGGTTCAAAGAGGGTTAAAAGGAGTTACAGGGGGTTACAGTGGGTTTCAGGGGGTTACAAGGGGTTAGAGGGGTATATATAAGATTACAACAGGTTACAAGGGAATACAAGGGGTAACGGGGGGTTACAGGGGGTTACAAGGGGTTACAAAAGGCTACAAGGGGTTACAAGGGGGTTACGGGCGGCTAAAGGGGGGTACGGGAGGTTACAAGGGGGTAACAAGGGGTTACAGGGGGTTACAAAGGATTACAAGGGATTACAAGGGGTTATAAACGGTTACAAGGTGTTAGAGGAGGTTAGAGGGAGTTACAAGGGGTTACAGGGGTTACAAGGAGTTACAAAGGGGTTACAGGGAGTTACAGGGGGTTACGGGTGGCTACAGGGGGTTACGGGGGTTTAAAAGGAGGTAACAAAGGGTTACAGGGGGTTACAAAGAATTACAAGGGATTTCCAGGGGTTAAAAGGGTTACAAGGTGTTAGAGGAGGTCACAGGGAGTTACAAGGGGTGACAAGGGGTTACAATGGGTTACAAAAGGTTAAAGAAGGTTACAGGGGGTTACAAGGGGTTACAAGAGGTTAAAAGGGATTAAAAGGAATTACAGGGGGTAACAGGAAGTAACAACGGGTTAGAGAGGGCTACAGAGGGTTACAAGGAGTTGCCAGGGGTTAAAAGGGGGTTACAAAAGGTTACAAGGGGTTACAAGGGAGTTAAACCGGGTTAAAAGGGGTTAAACGCGGTTACAGGGGGTTACAAGACATTACAAGGGGTTGCAAGGGGTTACAAGAAGTTACAAAGGGTTACAAAAGGTTACAGCAGGTTACAAGGGGTTACAAGGGATTATAAGGGGTTACAGGGGGTAACAGGGAGTTACAGGGGGTAACAGGCGGTGACAAGGGGTTAAAAGAGGTTACAGGGGGTGACAAGGGGTTAAAAGAGGTTACAGGGAGTTACAAGGGGTTGCAAGGGATGACAGGGGGTTGCAGGGGATGACAAGGGGTTACCAGAGGTTACAGGGGGTTACAAGGGGTTTCAAAGGGTCACAAGGGATTAGAGGGGGTTACAGTGGGTTAGAAGGGGTTACAAAGGCTTACAGAGGCTTACAACGGGTAACAAGGAGTTACAGAGGGTTACAAGGGATTGAGGGAGGTTACAGCTGGTTACAGGGTGTTACAAGAGGTTAAATAGGTTAAAACGGTTTCAGGAGGTTATGGGCGTTTAAAGGGGTTACAAGGGATTACTAGGGGTTACAGAGGGCTACAACGCTTAGAATGGGTTACAAGGACTTTCAGGGGGTTACATGGGGTAACAACGTGTTACAAGGGGTTACAGCGGGTTACAGGGGGCTACAAGGGGTTACAGGGGGTTAAAGAGGGTAACAAGGGGTTACAAGTGGTTACAGAGGGTTACAAAGGGTTGCAAGTTGTTACAGGGGGTTACAAGGGGTTACAAGAGGTTGCAATGAGTTACAGGGGGTTACAGGGGGTTACAATGGGTTACAAGGGGTTACAATGGTTTACATAAGATTACAGAGGGTTGAAGGGGGTTAGAGGTTACAGGCCGTTACAAGCTGTTACAAAAGGTTACAGCAGGTTACAAAGGCTTACAAGAGGTTACAGGGAGTTACAGGGGGTTACAAGGAGTTACAAGGGGTAATATGGGGTTACAAGGAGTTACAATTGATTACAGGGGGTTACAGGGGGTGACAAGGGGTTACCAGAGGTTACAGGGGGTTACAAGGGGTTTCAAGGGGTTACAAGGGGTTTCAAGGGGTTACAAGGGATTACAGGGGGTTACAGGGGGTTACAAGGGGTTACAAAGGCTTACAGAAGCTTACAACGAGTTACAAGGGGTTACAGAGGTTTACAAGGGGTTACAAGGGATTACAAGAAGTTACAGCTGGTTACAGGGAGTTACAATGGGTTAAATAGGTTAAAAAGGTTACCGGGGGGTATAGGGGTTTAAAGGGTTACAAGGGATGACAAGGGGTAACAAGTGGGGACAAGGGGTTACAGAGGGTTGCAAGGGGTTACGGCGGGTTACAAGAGGTTACAAGGGATTATATGGGGCTACAGGAGGTTACAGGGAGTTATGAGATGTTACAGAGGGTTAGAAAGGGTTGGAGGGGGTTACAAGAGGTTAAAAGGGCTTACAGGGGTTACAAGGGGTTACAGAGGGTTACAGAGGGTTCAAAGGGGTTTTAAGAGGTTACAGGGGTTTTAAGAGGTTACAGGGATTTACAGTTCGTTTTAAGGGTAAACAAGGGGTTACAATGGGTTCCCACGGGTTACAGGGGGTTACAATTGATTACAAGGTGTTACAGGGGGTTTAAAGGTTCTACAAGAGGTTGGGGGGTTACATGGGTTTAAAAGAGGTGAAAAGGGATTACAAGGGTTTACAGAGGGTTACAGAGGGTTAAAAGGGGTTAAAGACGGTTACAAGGAGATACAGGGGGTTACAAGGTTTTAAAAGGGTTAGAATGGGTTACAAGGACTTTCAGGGGTTAAAATGGGTAACAACGTGTTACAAGGGGTTACAGCGGGTTACAAGTGCTTACAAATGGTTACAGAGGGTTACAAAGGGTTGCAGGGGGTTACAGGGGGTTACAAGTCGTTACAGAAGGTTAAGAGAAGTTACAGGGGGTTACCGGGGGTTACAATGGGCTACAAGGGGTTACAATGGTTTACATAAGGTTACAGGGTGTTAAAAGGGGTTACAGGTTACAGGCGGTTACAAGGGGTTACAAAAGGTTACATGGGGTTACAACTGGTTACAAGAGGTTACAGGAAGTTACAGGTGGTTACAAGGGGGTTAGAGGTTACAGGCCGTTACAAGCTGTTACAAAAGGTTACAGCGGGTTACAAGAAGTTACAAGAGGTTACAGGGAGTTACAGGAGGTTACAAGGAGTTACAGGGGGTTACATGGGGTTACAAGGAGTTACAAGGGATTACAGGGGATTACAGGGGGTGACAAGGGGTTACCAGAGGTTACAGGGGGTTACAAGGGGTTTCAAGGGGTTACAGAGGGTTACAAGGGCTTACTAGGGATTACAAGAGGTTACAGCTCGTTAGAGGGAGTTACAAGGGGTTAAATAGGTTAAAAAAAGGTAACCGGAGGGTATGAAGATTTAAACGGTTACAAGGGATGACAAGGGGTTACAGAGGGTTACAGGGGGGTAACAAGGGGTTACAAGGGATTACAAGGGGTTACAGAGGGTTTTAGGGGGTGACAAGGGGTTAAAACAGGTTACAAGAGGTTACAACGGTTAGAGGGGATTACAAGGGGTTACAAGGGGTTACAAGGGTAGAATGGGTTGAATTGAGTTACAGGGGGTTACAAGGGGTTACAAGGGATTACAGGAGGTAACAGGGGGTTAGAAGGGGTTACAAAGGGTTACAGAGGGGTACAACGGGTTACAAGGGGTTACAAGGAATTACAGAGGGTTACAAGGGGTTACAAGGGGTTACAAGGGATTACAAGAGGTTACAGGCTGTTAGAGGGGGTTACAAGGGGTTATAAGGGGTCAAATAGGTTAAAAAGGTTGCAGGAGGTTACAGGGGGTTGCAAGGGGTTACAAGGGATTACTAGGGGTTACAGGGGGTTATAGAGGGTGACAAGGGGTTACAGAGAATTACAAAGGGTTGCAAGGGGTTACAGGGGGTTACAAGGGGTTACAAGGAGTTACAGTGGGTTGCAGGGGGTTAGAATGGGTTGCAAGGGGTTACAATGGTTTAGATAAGATTACAGGGGGTTAAAGGGGGTTACAGGGTACAGG